AGGAGGCCGGAGGAGGGAAGAGGAAGGAGGGAAGGAGGAAGGAGGGAAGGAAGGAGGGAAGAGGAAGAGAGGAAGAATAAGGAGGAAATAGAATGGTCTTGGGAAGGAATAAATATAAGGGACGAGAAGAGAGAGAAAGGAAGAGGGAAGAGAGAGAAAGGAAGAGGGGAAAGTAAGGAAGGAAGGAGGGAGGGACGAGGAGGCAGAAGGAAAGGAGAAATGGACTTAGTCTGATAAAGGAATATAAAGGAAGAGAAGAAGAAGAGGGAGCATGGGAGGAAGTAGGGAAAAGAGAGGAGGGAGGGAAGGAAAAGAAGGAAAATAAGAATGGTCTGGAAAAGCGAATGGAAAGGAAGAGAGAGAAGGGAGGGTAGAAGGAGGAGAAGAAAAGGAGGGGAGGAGAGAAGCAGGGGGAGAGCAAAGGGAGAGGAGGGAGGAAGGGAGGAAGGGGAAAAAATAGAATGGTCTGGAACAAGAATATAAAGGATGAAGATGAAGGAGAGAAGGAACGGGGAAGGGGGAAGGAGGGAAGAAGAACGGAAGCGAGAGAGAAAGAGAAAGAAAGAAGGAAGGACAGAGGAAGAGAGGGAAGAAAAGGAGGAAATGGACATGTCGTTAGGATATAAAGAGAGAGAGAGAAGGAAGGAAGGGAGGAAAGGAGGAGAGGGAGGAGGAAGGAGGGAATGGGGATGGAGAGAAGGGGAGAAAGAAGAGGGGGAAGGAAGCAGAGGGAAAGAGGAAGGAAGGGAGAAGAGGGCAGAAGGAGAGAGATAGAAGAGGGAAGGAGGGATAAGAGGGGAGAGAGGGAAAGAGAGGAGAAATCTAAATGTCTGAAAGGGAAATATAAAGGAGAGAGAGAGGGAGAAGGAAGGAGGGAAGGAAGGAGGCGAGGAGGGAAGAGGGAAGAAGAGGAGGAAGGAGGGGAGGAGGGAAGGAGGAAGAAGAGGAGGAAGGAGAGGGGAGAGAAGGAAGGAGGGAAAGAGAGAGAGAGGGACGGAGAGAGAAAGAAATGGTCTGGAAGGAATATAAAGGAGAGAGGGGAGAAGAAAAAGGAGGAGGAGGGGAGAGAGGGAAGGAAATGAGGGAAAATAGAATGGTCTGGAAGGAATATAA